TCTGCAGTGTGGCTTGGATATAGCTCAGGACAGAGTCCTAGGTATGAGGTCCTGCAAAACATTACCTGTGCACTCGGGAGGCAGAGGCAGGTGGATCTCTGTGAGTTCGAGACCAGCCTGGTCTACCGAGCTAGCTCCAGGACAGGCTCCAAAGCCACAGAGAAACCCTGTCTCGAAAAACCAAAAAAAAAAAAAAAAATTAAAAAAAAAAAAAAAACATTACCTGTGTCTGTCACTAAGGGGCATCATGATGCCCATATGGAAACATCAGTTACGCATCTTATGGAAGTTTAGGAACACATGATCTAAGACAGTGGTTCTCAACCTTCCTAATACTGTGACCCTTCAATACAGTTTTTCATGCTGTGGGGACCCCACACACACACACCATGAAATTATTCCATTGCTACTTCATAACTCTAATTTTGCCATTGTTATGAATTGGTTACTTGATAATGCAACCCCCAAAGGGGTCACAACCCATAGGTTGAGAGCCACTGAATTCTAAGTCATCCCAGTATTCATAAAAGTTATCAGGGGGGAAAAAAAAAAAACGCTCGATGCTCTTAGCTAACCACCATGAAATATGACGTCATTTTCTTGTCCACTTGTCCTGTGCTATGCCTTTTGTGTGTGAGGGGGGAGGGGGGATGAAGCCAGGACTTTGTACATGTAGTACCCCACCACATAGCTAAATCCCAAACTGGCACTGCCTTTTTAAATGTGTTAAACAGCCATTTCCCAAATGAAAAAGCCACTATCGCACACCTTGACTTTTTCTTCTTCCTGGATATTTTTACTATTAATTATTATTATTTCCTTCCCTAATTACTTGTCCAATAAAACACAGACACAATATATACTGAGTGCTGATTACAGCTAAGAATCATTACATATGCTATTATCTTGTATAGTTCCCACACTACTGTATAGTAATTACATTCTGCACATACAATAACAGAAGTTTTAAAGCTAAGAGGCAATACGCTCCAAGTCCCTCAACTAGTCTGCAACAAAGAGAACGGAGTAGAACCTAAGGCACCTTGTGTGCAAAGCCTCTGCCCCTTGTCCTATACATGCTAATGCAGGGTTATTTTCAGTGATGAGGGCTCTGTCAGTACAGCACTGAACACACTGAAACACAGCCTAGATCTGGGGAAGCCAGAATAGAACTCAGCAGTTAACAATTGCAGAGGGTGACTCCTGCTCAGTCTTTAGCCATTGGTCCATTATGCCCAAGTTTCTCAAAGTATTTCCCACCTACTTCAAAAATCACCTTCGGAATTGGTTTAAATCTAAGTTTCTGGGTGGCCTCGCCAGAGCAGAATATATATATATATATATATATATATATATATATATATAGTAAAAGAGCCTCCATTTTTAGCGTGCACTCACGATTGGTATTTTCAAACAGTAAGTTCTAAAATAAGTTTAGGGGGTCATACTTGGTGCTTTTGTTTAATAAAACAGCTGAGAACAAATGCAACTTATAAAGATTCTATAGAGACATAAAATATCAAATGATACCGTACACTGTCTCAAGAGATCTGCTTAGTTCTCAGATGCTATTTGGGAAGTACAATTATATTTCATACAACTCAGCCAAGGAAATTTAAGAAATACGGCTGCTTTAACTTTTTTTCCCCTTCAGTTTTTCAAGGCAGGGCTTCTCTGTGTAACCCTGGCTGTCCTGGAACTTGCTTTGTACATCACAGTAGCCTCAAACTCTGAGCTCCTCCTGCCTTTGCCTCACGATTACAGGTGTGCTCCACCACCGTCCAGCTTGTACTAACTATTTTTAATCTTCCTAGCTCCTTTTAAGTAAGTAATTTTGATATTCCTTTTACAAAAAAAAAAATACAACCTTCTGTCACTTTTAGGATCTTGGTTATTCCATTCCAAGAGTTTCTGTTATAACCCCAGAGTCATTCTGAGGTCTCTGTATAACTACTCATAAAATTATTTAACCACATTTTGCGGTATTTTGAGTCTTCTCTTAATTATTTTCCCTTTGTTTTTCATCCAGCCTCCTCACTATGTGGAGCTATTTCACTTACCGAGATCCTTGAACCGATTGGTATAATTTAGCTATGTATTCTTGGGGACAAATCAAATACTCCATGGAATTTAAACTGCTAAGGATTTCATTCCCTCATTTTCTCATCTTCTATTTATGTTTTTAGATAGAATTCCTTACTGGCTTGCCTTCCTAAGCATGTTCTTGTTTAATCGGCACTTGTTTCAATACTTATCACATATTTTTTTTCTTTGAAGGGAAAGATATGATAAGGATCCCCACTAACATAGGGGATTTTTCTGGGTAAATCTGGACAGCTTTAAGATGATACACCTGGCATTCCAAGGAACGGTAACTCCTGAAACGTTAAAATGATCGACTATGCATATTGCGTGAAATCGAAGTCTAGCTTCCCCCAGATATGACTGAAAACTAGAGGCACATCTGACGCAAGGCACAGGAAACACACCACATCAGTCCAGCCTGTTGTAAAAGCAGCCCTTGGTGGTGAGGTGTTAAAGATTGAGTGGACGCCAAAGTACAAGTTCAAAAAAGTGCCTTTTTCTTGAGCTAAGTATCTGCTTAACACTTAGCTCCCTGATACCCACATTGCAGATGATCCGTACATCTAAATTAATCTGCTTAGCACAGCTAGAAACACAGTCAGCACAGTAGTGAGACACTAGGAAGAAACGTGGGCATTACCTGCAGTACAGCAAAAGCAGGCAGGCACATCTGTAGGGACACGTTCCCAAAAGTTGGTGGTTGTTGATTTTTTTTTTTTTAAGATAGTGCCAGGAATCCTTCATTACTTCAAATAAAAATTTCTAACATAAAACTGATATTCACAGCAAGACTCACGTGAAGATGTGGGCATTGCTGGCACCTGTGCTCTTTATGAAGTAAGAAAAACGTACACCCTTCAAACATCCTAGCTAATGAATAATAATTGGAAGTTTTACATCTTAATGAAAATGTGGTTTTATTAGTTTAGCTGCCAAATAACACATTATTTTCAGGATCATTGTTCCTTCTATATTAAAAATAAGGCTATCTCATCAACTCATAACTCTTAACACTTTTTTTAATCAGACGCAAAGATCAAGATGGATTTATTAAGTCTCAAATTGTAAAGCTTTTAAGATACCTAAGTCTATAATGGAAGATTTCCTCAAACCACCCCAATACTCCAAAGACATAGCACCATGAAACAACAGAGATAATAGCTGGCATTTTATATGAAATGCAAATCAGAGCTTCAGTTTCAGAATTTAATAGAGATATGAAGAATAAGAGAAGTTTGGAAACTGTAGATGATGCAGAAGCAGAAAGCTCTTTAAATTCTTACTTTGATAAGTAAAGCCTCATGTCCAGCAAATACACTGTGGATGCAAACAACGTAAGGTGACTTTTAAAGCTCTCACTACCAGTTTTACACTGTCACGATAACTCTACTGACTTCAAAGACAGTCCTTTAAAACACTGTTTTAATGAAGGAGCCATTTGCTATCTCAGAGAAATGCAAGAGCTGGTCAGATTGCTTTTATTCTGATATTGATTCTCATATTAAGTTTCTGAATTGGTCAAATACATTACCAGAGGGAAAAGTAACACTAAATGTTCACCACAGTGAACACAATGTAGTGTTGTGTGTAAATGAATCTATTGCCATGTAGAGGAAAGGAAACACTAAAAAAATCGGCAATACTAAAATCCACATATCTTGGTACATATTAAATTCACCTTACAAAATAATCAGACTACAACCACTCCAGTTGGTCCACTATATATGTGACTTAATGAGAGCTCTGATTGAAGGAAATACCTAACGGTGAGGGCTAGTGTAATATTTATAGTACTTAAAAAAACATAAAATTTAAATTACTTAAACCCCAGCATTACCTAAACCCTCCAGTAATGTCCAAGTGTATTTGTTACTAGCTATAGACCACCACGTAGGCCTGATCTTCAAACTTAATCCCTTTTAACACTAACATATCTATTAATCTATACAACATCCCAACCAGCCAATCAGGAAACAAGAAAGGCATCTCAAGTTTTCTTTTATGGAAAACTGACTCCAACCCATTTTCAATGACAAAACACAATTTCCCAATCCACTATGGTATTATCATAAATTTATAAAATTTATAAAACTCAGTACAGCTAATTTTCTTAGACCAACAGCAACTCTAATACCTTTACAGCAGAGGGGCTGACTTGCTAATTAGTTTTCTGTAGTTTCTAGACACAGTGTTGCTCTTAAATGTTGTGTGAATCCTGTCTGCACTGCATTGCTATCTCTCACAAACTTTTCAGACACTTAGTACCCCAGACATATTTTGCCAAATTTTCCATTTTGGAGATTTGGGAGACATATATCTGAAAATGGCAGTTAACAATAAATCTCAGAGTATATGTTTGTTTTATGCACGAGACTAGTAAAATGCTCCTAATTTCTCCCATTACATAAATTTTTACAGAAATTAGGATCAATTTTGAATCACGTTTGTATATTAAATAAAAGATTTACTATAGTACCCTAACCTAAAAGTAACTGTTTCATGTACCACAAAAGATGAGTATGGGGGGAAAGTGAGTGCATCACATAATTAGAGAAGTCTTCTTTATGGTGTTTCCTTGGGCTTTTAATAAGTTCATTCCTACATTACAAGCCTTCTACATTACTGTCTGACAAATTTACTAGGTCTTCAACTCTGTGTAAAACTTCATTACCAACTAAAATGTCTATTTGATAATTAGTTTTCAACTGACACTTGGCAGATAAGCAAACAAGCCTTTAAACTACCTTGAAGTGGCAATAGCCTACAGCTAAACTGTAAAGCCTGAGAGAAACTCTGTGAGACAAGCTCCCCGGGTGTGGGGGGGTGGAGAGCAGAGGATTATAACCCCAATAAGTGTTTAATAACGACCCTTCTGTCACGACCCACTTCCCGCTCTCACGTGGGTGCATACTTACCCGAGAAGGTAAATGGAGGACCACAGGAAGATGAACAGCAGCAGAGCCTTTGTCAGATGATAGTAACCTATAAGTAACAAATAAAGGCACATCATCAGGACGGGAAGGCTTTACAAGAGTACAGTTCTATGAAGGAAGGACACAAAACCCAGGAGTCCAGCTCCACAGCAGCCCCTTGCCTGTCTCTACCCTCCTCCGTGAGAGAGCTACAAGGGCAGAAAGGGAAAGCATCTTCGCTTATTCAAAGCCGGTGGGGGCAGCCCAGCTGGCATTCCAGGGTCTCCCCAGAACCCTGCTTTCTACTCCCTGTCTGTACAAAGCAGAAAGTTGATCCGTTCTGAACAGGAAAGCCTACATCACGATCATTCATCAACTTGCACAAGTGATCACCACCCCCTGGGCAAATACACCAGTAACCAAATCGTAAAGATCGATGGGCACTCCTCCGTGCCTCGCTGTGCCCAGGAGTCAGCCAGCCTGAGGAGCCACGGCAGCAGCGGCTCCAGGTACCACAGCCCTCAGACCTGCAGACCTGGGCGGCCACAGCCAGCTCCCAACAGCTTGGCTGGGTCACAATCCCGAGACTGGAGATCGGAGTCGACCTGGGGAAACACATTCTCCAGAGCTCACGACAGCAAGCGCAGGCCACCAGGTCGGCGAGGTCGGGGTGGGGGAAGCTAGGAAACGCTGAGGGAGAAAGGGAGGGAGGGATCCCACCCAGGCTTTGTTGCTGGTCACCATCAAGTTTGCATCTTAGTACAAAATGTCGATCTTAAAGGCTGACAAGACAGAGGCAGAGGTAGAGCGAGAAAGAGAAAGGCAATAGAGTCCATCTTGCTTTGGGGAAGAGGGGGAAGGAAAAAAATGAAGTGTAAATCCCACACTCAGGGCGTAAAAGTCTGCTAAACACCTTTCCACAAGGCAGGAGCAACGAGTGGGGTGTCCCTGAGCCCGTGCCGGCTCGAACCGGCGGCGGTCTGGGGGGGGGGGGGGACGCCTCCCTCCCTCGCCTCCTCTTCCTCCTCCTTCCCCTCCTCCTCCCGTTCCTCCTCCTCCCGTTCCTCCTCCTCCCGCGGGCCCCGGCGAAGATCCCGCCGCCGCTGCCTCTGCCGCCCCCCAGAGAGGCACCGCCGCCGCCCGGCCCCGCGCTGCCATTCCAGGCTTGGACCGCGCGGCGTGGCGCGCGTGGGGCCGGGCGCCGGGTGGCCGCGCAGAGATGTCCTCTCCGGGGACCCCCGCGCCCCCTGGCCGTAGGCTGCCTACAAAAGTCGCGCGAGCAGGGGTGGCGGCGGCAAGCAGGAGAGAGGACGCGCGTGGGGAACCCACGCCACGAGTGGGCAGCCCCAAGGGATGGCCGAGAGCGCCCCTCCCCGTGCAGGGAAAGTACCCCAGTCCCCGCCAGCCAGCCCGAGGTACGGCAGCCCGGCGTCCACGGCCGGTAGACGAGAACTGGACGTGTCATTAGCAGGACAGGCAATGGTTTCAAAGCCCCAGGCCAATGACCATTAGCCGAGGCAGAGCGAGCTCGGTCCCCATCCCCCACCACCTCCACCCACCTCCCCCCCCTCGCATCCCCCACCTCCACCCCACCTCGCGAAACTTTTCAACAAGATCCACCTGGGCTAATTTGTCCTCAAACAGTTAAAATATTGACTAGACCCTACACACAGGGAAGGAAGGGCAATACACGCTTTATTTTCCTTTCTACAGAAAGGAAAGCAAAAAATAGCTTGTCTCTGTGTCTCTCCCTCTCCCCCCCCCCCCTCTGTCGTACATGTTGTGTCTTAGCTTTTTGCATCGTTTCGTTTTACCTTCCTCATTTAGCAGAAATGATCGCGGGTATTTCACACATAAACGTGTTCCAGATTCCTGGATCCAGGGTCCTTGTAAATTACAGGACTCGGGTTCAGTCTCAGTTACGTTAAGTTTCATGCGATATCCCCAAAATAAATAAAATAATAATAATAATACATTTCTGAGGGTGAGTGAGCGAGCGAGGTGGAGGAGGAAAAGAAGCCTCCAGTCGGATTTCTGTAATTTACTAGCGACCCGGATCGCAGCAAATAACAGTGTAACACGAGCGTGGCTTCAGAGGGTTGGGGAGGCTCTTTCTGGAGGCGTCGACCCCATCCCCGGATAAAGGACCTGCAAGTTTTCTGTCATCGCGACCATGCAATGCCATAACTTACCTTCAGAATGAGTCTTTAAACAGCCAAGGCCTTCCTCCTCCCCTCCACAGCCACCACCCCCAGCCTCGCTCTCTCCACCTTAAACTTATTGACACAACATAATCCCACATTCAAGCAAAATCCTGACACAGCCTCCCTCCTCCTCTCCCCCCTCCTCTCTTCCCTCCCGTTTCTCTCTCTCTCTCTCTCTCTCTCTCTCTCTCTCTCTCTCTCTTCCCCTCCCTCTCCCCCTCCCCTCCCTCTCCCTCTCTCGCCTTCTTCGCCCTCTTCCCCTCTCCCCTGTTCTTCCTCCAGGCTACTCTGGCACTAAAACAGCACTTTCTCCACTCGCCGCGCATTTGGCTGGGGGGTGGGGGGGTGAGGGACGAGGGGGGACACCGATCTCGGGGCCGGAACACCCCAATCCTAACTCTCCAGATGAACGAGCAACTGAGGGCTGCTGTTCCCGGTCACCGACGCGCACACGCAAACGTAGCCCCGACCCACCGAGGGCAGCCTTCCCGTACCTTCCTCCCCTGCCCCGGGGCTCCCCCAAGGCCCCACCTCCCCCCGCCCGGCAGCCGAGCCCTGCCCGGGGCTCCTCCACGTACTTTCGCCTCCTTGAAGTTTGGGGCTCCCCGGGCAGCCACGAGCCGCCCCGCCGGCGTGAGGACCGCTCCGTTGTTGTTTTCCTCCGGCGCCTCCAGCCCGCGCCCCGGCTCCGTGCCCCCTCAGGCGGCGCTGCCCGGGCGCCGAGAGGTGCTCGCCTGCAAACGCAGCCTGGCACCGGCTGGCCTACTCCTCCCCAGCCCGGCCCCCAGCTCGCGATCGCCGGGCAGCGCCGCGCGCCCCCCGGCCCGGGCCCGCCACCCGCGCGGCCGCCGCGACCCTCGGCCCGACCTCACGCCACCCAAAGTTTTGGCTGAGGGGAAAGTGGCCCGCGAGGCGCCGGCCGGTGGCGGCTCGGGCTCCGGACGCGCGGGCTCCCCTCGCCTTCCTCAAGTCCACCCTACCGGCTGCCGCCGCCGCCGCCGCCGCTCCAGCCGTGGAGTCCTCCGGCTGCAGCCCCGGCGGCTCGCAAGTGAGTCGGAAAACAGAAAGTGCGGGAGAGCGCCCGCGAAGGCTGCGGATGGCGGGCGCCTACCTCGCGGGCTCGCCGCGGCGCGAGGGCGTGTGTGTGGCTCGCCCTCAGCGGCCAGTCAGGGGCTCTCTATGGGAAAGTGGAGAGGAGCTCGCGGAGCCGCGCTGCCTCCGCTCCACTGTACACTGCTCCACATACAGTACATGCAACCCGGAGAGACTGAAAACACTCATTTTATATAAGGCAGCCTGCCATTGGCCCGCGCCGTGACGGACGGGCGGCGCAGCCAAACAGGAGGCGCGTTACACCCAAACACACGCACACATACACACATTTCACAGAGACACACAAAGATCATCACATTTTCTATTTTCTAATGTTCGGGACCTGTAGACAGTGGGCGAGGACAGGTAGAGAGGCCCGGCGGAGTGAGGATCAGGGGAGAAGCCCTCTCTGGACCAAGTTGCCAGGCTTGGAACTGGTGTCCTTTTGACTTGGGAGGGTTATGGTAATAAACTACAACTCCACTGGATATGGAAGTGAGGGGAGGGGGGGTTTGATCGCTGCCTTGTGCTGCCCCGTGAAAGAGGCGAGCATTGTGTTATGATTTTACATCCCGGCCTGCTAACAAGTGGCCGAGAAACGCTTTTATCAGCTTGAATTTCTTTTGTCAATGGGTAAACCATCACCTAGGCCAAAATAGTGCAAGATAAGTTTATCAAGACTAGAATGCATCCAGATTGTTAATGCCTCGTTCGTAGGCAAATTCAGAGAAACAAAATCAATACAACTCACAGAAACAAAGATAAACCTTTTGCTAAAACAGCCGAAAGTGCACTTAAAAGTTGGGAGGCAATCACCTGTGTGGGCATACGAGGTATGCAGAAAAATAAACACCTCGTGGAAAAATGACTATTGACAGTTTGCCTTAGAAATGGGCCTTTTGGTTCAAAATAGCCAAGATTAACATTTTAAAGTATATATTATATAGCCCTTTGCTTTATATTGTTTCCCGCCATATGTGACTACTGTATGTTTGGTGACATCTAGAGATGGTAGTGGATGTGATACCTAGTCTTTTTTTTTTTCCACATGTATTGATATTTTTACCATGGGTGTCAGGTCCCCTGAAACTGGAGCTACAGAGTTGTGAGCTGCCATGTGGGTGCTGGGAGTTGAACCTGGATCCTCTGGAAGAGGCTGAACCATCTCTCCAGTCCCATGACACCTAGTTCTGATGATATTTTTCCTATGCTGCATCTTTGGCAGATCATGTTTAACAGTTTGATACAAACAAGCCAAAAGGTTACTGAGAAAAAAGTCAAACCTAAGAAACCTAAGAATTAGAATAAAATTCACATTCAAGTTCTTAACTAGTTGAGCAATCTTGGGTAAATGAGTTTTTTAGTCTCTTTCATTCTTAGATTTGATTTTAGTTTTTATTTGAAGATGAAAATAAGCTTTTCCAAGATTGCCTTCATTAAATGGTTATTCAGCATCTACAACGCGCTGGCACTATTCTAGGACCCAGATGCTTTCCTGGGGTTCCTTCTGACCAAGATTCAAATTTTTCAAGAATCTTAAATATAAACAGTTTTGAAGATTCAATAGTATAATTTTATAGCCTAGCTGATAGTTTAAAATTTAAAAGAAAACTGAATAAGATAACCTTTTCTCTTTATTTTTTGAGACAGAGTCTGACTTTGTAGCCTTGCCTGGCCTGGAACTCACTATGCAAATCAGGCTGGCTTTGAACTCACAGAGATTCCACTGCCTCTGTCTCCAGAGTGCTGAGAGTAAAGGCATAGGCCATCACATCCCTCCCATCCATTTTATTTCCTTGATGCCACCTAAGATATTTTTCCCACAGCCATAAATAAATGTTTGTGTAAGAGTGGAAAAAAAGAAATAATAAAGAAAAAAAGCAAGTTTGTAAAGTTTTAGAAAACAAAGTCGTGTGTAGAGATGTGGTGTTCTGTTTATTTTTAAGAGAATATAAAGCTGGGCGGTGGTGGCGCATGCCTTTAATCCCAGCACTCAGGAGGCAAAGGCAGGCAGATCTCTGTGAGTTCGAGGCCAGCCTGGTCTAGAAGAGCTAGTTCCAGGACAGGAACCAAAAAAAGCTACGGAGAAACCCTGTTTAGAAAATCAAAAAAAAAAAAAAAAGAGAGAGAGAGAGAGAATATAAATTTTAAAGGAAAAATCCAATAAAACCATAGAATTTAAGGTGATAATACTGAAGGTAATAAAATATCCCTCTTCATTCATTTCACAGAAGGAAACAAGTGTCCCTCATTCACATACGCTGCTCTGAAGTCCGTGCTAACTGCTATCTCTTTTTTGCCCACAAGAGAAAGGAGGCAGGGCCAAACTAGGCAGGCACAGAATATGAGTGATGAAGAAAATTAAGCACAGAACATTCACAGGTTTTGAACAGCTAGAAGGTCCTTTTTTTGAAGTGACAAACTTCTGAGACAAGAGGCAGTTGGAGGGAAAATTTTCAAAAAAGTTCAAGGCACTTCTTTTTGAAGGGTTAAAAATCAGCAAGAGTTGATAATATTTAATTGCTGGCTGGAGTATTATAACTTACTTTTAGTATATTATATAAGATGAAAAATATGAAAAGCTAACCCACTCAGCACTTCCACTTCCAACTTCCACCACAGGAAAACATACTTTATTTTTATGGTCACAAGGATATTATTGTTGTTGAATACATTTAACATAAATGAAGTATATAAAGTTGCAGTGATCAAATTTTCATATTACCCAACACTATCAGTAAAATGTGTGTGTGTGTGTGTGTGTGTGTGTGTGTGTGTGTACAGGAGGTAAACGTTTACATAATTACCTGTACATTAAAATATAGCAGTGTGAATAAGTTATTTTTTTTATAAAGCACATGGTCACAAAGAATAAAAAGTCATTACATAAATAAAAAGTAAAGTTACAGTTTTAGTTTGTTCCAAAGTCCCCTTGAATACTATCCTCCAATGGTTTGTTTGGTTTTTTTTTTTTTTTGGATTTTCGAGACAGGGTTTCTCCATAGCTTTTGGTTCCTGTCCTGGAACTAGCTTTCCTAGACCAGACTGGCCTCGAACTCACAGAGATCCGCCTGCCTCTGCCTCCAGAGTGCTGGGATTAAAAGCGTGTGCCACCGCCGCCCGGCTATACTCCAAGGTTTTGCATTCTAGTTTAGCACTCTCTGACAGTGAAAGGGGCTAATGCGTGAAATAACTAACCAGGGCTGATGCACGAAAGCGTCAGGGAGGGTGGACTGAAGGCATTCTTTACAAGTCATGATTTACTGGAAACTAGTGGGTCCACGGAGCCTTTAGATTTGAGATAATTATACTAAAAAAGAAATGCATTGCATGTTAGTGGTCCATTTGCGTTGAGCATCATGTTGTTCTATAAGTCTATTCAATATTCTTCTCCGGGACATTTGTTGAATAGGTTCTCTATGCCAGGCACACTGTATGCCCGAGAATTACTGGCTCCTGGAAGCAATAGAATTCCAGCCTCCAGAGTGGTGAATGCAGCAGTCCTCATGACTAAGGAAGCTTACAAGTAACTTTAATGTCCTGGTTTACCCTTTTTGAAATGATTTCCAGATTTTTATTATTTCATTTGAGAATGAGTATCAAGGAATTTTAAATTCCAATGGTGCTTAAAAATTTAAAATGCAACTAAGACAAAAAAAACGCAGCTTTCAGAGAATGTATTTAATTTCTATAATCGAAGGTTATGAATGCAAACAGCTAATGTTTACCTACATCAACACTTCTTTGCTTGGTTTCAATTCCAGGTTGACCTTATAAGCTTAGCAAGGTCCTCCTCAGGGCCTTAACTGTCCAGTTTCCTAGGCTTATTTTAGGAAGGTCAATTTAGATATGTACATACATGTGCATACAGAAGTATTTATCTACATAAGTAACTACGTTTCACCTATTTTGCCTCCTTTTATGATCCTAGTTGAAATCCTGATGTTAAGCAACCTTAGGGGGAAAATTTTATTTATTTACTTATTTATTTATTTTAGTTTTTTGAGACAGGGCTTCTCTCTTCTCTTCATAGCCCTGGCTGTCCTGGAAATCACTCTGTAAACCAGACTGACCTCGAAAAGAAAATTCTTTTTTTTTTTTCAAAAAAATTCTTAATCACTTCACAATTTACTTTCCTTGTTTATAAAATAGGGATAGTAAGAGCAATTAAAATTTTAGTTATGCCGGGTGGTGGTAGTGCACGCTTTTAATCCCAGCACTTAGGAGGCAGAGGCAGGTGGATCTCAGTGAGTCTGAGGCCAGCCTGGTCCACAAAGGAATGTTACATAGAGAACCCTTTCTCAAAAAAACAAACAAAATTTGTTTGTTTGTGTGTGTGTGTGTGTGTGTGTGTGTGTGTGTGCGTGTCTTAAGTGGGAAATCCATGAGCAGTCAATCAGTGCTATTTTTGTTTATTTCTTATATATACCGGTCAACGGTAGATGCATGGCTCAGAGTTTTGTGAAGCTTAGCTATCATACCAACGAAGTTTACACATCTTTTTTTTTTTTTTTTTTTTTTTAGTTTACAGATCTTGTTACAGTTTATTGACCCATTGTTTGCACTTCCCTTGTACATTATTCTCTATGGACTCCAGCATCTCTACACATGTCAGTGACTGGGCATGGTAGTGTGTGTCTGTAATCCTATCTGTGGGAGGCAAAAGTGTAAAAAGTTCAAAGCCAGCCTAGTTGACCATGTCTCCATAAACAAACAACAAGCAAATAAATAAATAAATAAGTGAATGAATGAATGAATGAAAGGGAGTTATTGGCCTCAGCCCAGAATAAAGCAAAGAATCAGCTGGGTATAATAGCCCCTAAAAAAGAGCAAATTGATTAGTCATTCTTTGACACAAACCAACTTGAGAAAGTTACATTCCAACTTGAGAACATTACAGTGCCTTAGACAAAAGTTTATGATTCATACTTGGTCTTTCTGAGATTCACTTTTTTCCTGTATCATACACATGCATATATGTAAGGGGTGAGAATCATGCCTCTTCCCTTAAGGTAAAGGGACTACAATGGGAAACCAGACCAATTGAGATTCACAGGGTTAAAGAGAGCAGGCAGAACCTGCAGAAAGAAGAAAGAGAAGAAAAAGCAGCTCTCCGAGGCCATGCTCAGCCAAGCTCCTTGGAATCCTTACTCTCTG